AGTTTCAAGTCCATAGCTTTTATACTTTCGGAGAAATGGCCAGGATAAAAATAAAGTATGAAAATTAACAAAGGGCAATAACTCAAAAAATAAGAAATGCAGAGTACTGGTTCTTGTGCACTGCACTTCTTCTTAATGAGATCTATCATCCTATGAAGTTTCAAGTCCATGACTTTTATACATTAGGAGAAATGGCCCGGACAAAAAAAAAGTATAAAAATTAACAAAGGGCAATAACTCAAAAATTAGGAAGTGCAGAGTACCTGTTCTTGTGCACTGCACTTCTTCTCAATGAGATCTATCATCCTATGAAGTTTCAAGTCCATAGCTTTTATAGTTGAAGAGAAATGGCCCGGACAAAATTAAAGTATGAAAATTAACAAAGGGCAATAACTCAAAATTTAAGAAGTGCAGAGTACTGGTCCTTGTGCACTGCACTTTGGGTTATTGAAAGAAGCATGCATACCAAGTATGAAGTCAATCAGACTTATAGTGACTGAGTTATGCTCTGGACAAGCTTTAGTGGACGCCGACGCCGCCGACAAAAGTAACCCCTATATGTCGCCTTTTCAAGGCGACACAATAAAACAATGAAAAGGATCATTCAGCTCTCACAAATCTATGACCAATACATAAATAAGTTCTGACAATAAGTTCTGACAATACAAATCAAAATATCATGAGACCCATTTCTAAACATATTTTAGGGAAAGGGGGACTGTGGGATAATTCAATGATTTTTGCATCTGATATGAAAATAAACAACAATTAATCATTACATAATACTTGAACAAATATTTTTGTATTCCAAATAGTGTACACTTATTCATATGGTAATCTACTGCCTTGTGTTGTGGTTTAGTTTTTTCCCTATGATGAGATTTATGCTCCCACGATGATTATAATACCGGAGCAATGATGATTCCATTACTGTAGAAGAGTCAAGTAGTGTAATTACCACATGTCATTATATTACTAATGCACTGTAAGTGTTACATAAGTGTGCATTAAATGAGCTATCATAAGAATAAGCTGCCAAGATTGTCTTGTGGCTTACCCACCACTTCTCAGTGCACTTCAAAAAAATACTTATTTACATAAATGTTTCTTTATATCAATATTAATGCAGAAAAAAATTCTTCAAGACTGAATCTTCACTTGCATACACTTTCTTAATATATTTTAAATTTTTTTATCTATCTTATTCTTACACTATTTAAATGAAAAACAATTATTGATAAAGATGATATTTTAATATGACTTTCTCCATATTATTAGCTTTTCAAGAGAGTTTTATGACAAGTGAACATGGCAGAAAAACTCATGCAAATACTTTTTTTCCTAATATAAAACTAGTGAAACTTTCATTAACCAACTTTTTGGAGGGTGGGGATGGGGAGATGGGGTCATGTTAAGTAATTCAGAAACTGATTATGTCAGTACCTTTAGAAACTTAGAAAGAAAATAATTCAAAATATTCTGTTCTTCAAACATTCCCTCCTTACCAACCCCTGTTAAGGCACCACACCTGATGGACAGTCAGAAAAGAAAATACCAATTAAAAGCCCCTACCCACCAAAGGTGACAAAAAATTCACATTAGTGAAATTTAATTCTGAAAATTTCCAGATCTATGCCAACAGTTCAATCATTCCACAGGCCCTTAACAAAACAAACGATATTTGATGTTAACCAAAAGAATGTATTCATATAGCCCAACTGACAGATTATTGACAAAAAAAGATCATAAAATATCACATGCCAAAATTTTCAGTTTGGGCAATTTTATACCATCATAAAAAGCTTTTGAAGTGTCCATAAGAAAAAGAGTCATTTTATGTTATTTTATATAGAAATCATCAATTATGGATACATTATCAATGGCTTTAAAGTGATAACTTTGTATGAAAAGTAAACTTGACACATGCCCTTCATGTCACGACCTTACAATGACCTATTATTTTCAATACACAGTTTTTATAACAACTTACTGTGAAATGATATCAACAGTAAAATCAATGTTTAACTTCCAAGTTTTTTTATGCAAAATTCTAAATGTAAACATTAAGGTCAACTTTATCATTTTAATTCTGTCATCCTACACATGTTTTTGCAATAGACTTTTCTTGCTTTAAATTTGGACTCCGAAATTGTTCATAGTTATGGTAAATGTATGGGAATTCAATATTAACCCTTACCCTGCTGGAACTAAAGGTGATCAGTCTTTGCCACCGGTACAGGACCAGGTCAGCCAGCACATCCATGCAGTCTGACTAAGCTCTATACTGTTTGGTAGCTCATTTTTAATGTTTTGATACCGAAATCCCTTAAATTTCAAATTCCAAGTTGGACTTGCAGTCTAAGGGTTAAAATGCAAACACTACTAGCAAAACAACAGTCATGAGTTCAGGCTGGTGTAGCTGGACCTGTCATTAAAGGCAACTGCACTAATTAGGTAAACATTTCAGTTGTCATTTAGTGGTCTGGTGATTTAAGTTGTGAGCCTCACAGAATGAGGACAGTAAGTAAAATTCTTCAATAATTTCTCATTAGATTTTTACAGAAGCTAAGTCCTGGTACAATCATGTAATGATATATTTAATTACTAAGGAACATTTAGTTTAACATCTGATTGCTTTTTTTTTCAAAATTAATTATACTTTTGCAGGTGTTATTTAAAATGATTATCTCTTATTAACAAATTAATTAAACAGAAAATTCTTAAAACTTGATTAAGATTAATCCTATTGAAAGAGACATTTTCACCTTTAAAACAAAACTATAAAATTTCAAACAAAATTTCAAAATGTAGGATAAATATTTCATTGAACCTGTGTTTCCTAATATATATTCTTATGCTCAACTTATTTATAGTATATATATTTCAATGACTTCATATAAACAATACACATTCACATCCTGTTCAAGGAAAGGAAAGTTTTCCTTTCCGCTAAATTGTTACATTAAATGATATTAATGTAATTATAACGCTTTCCCTTGGCGAAACTACTTCACCCATCAGATTTTAATCTGTTCATAGCAGTGTAAAATGAGCGCTTAAACTTTTCTATTTCTTTAAATATATACAATACAGTTGAAATTGCATTGTAAACATATCATAGGAAAGAAACTAGTTCAGATAAATACAATGATATTAGTTATATATCTTTTACATTTTTAAATTTTTCTCATTCTTTAAAAAAAGAAAATAGAGCATGTTGTATTAAATGATATAAAATCAGTCAAGGAAATCTATACAACGTGATGTAAGCTAGATTTCAGTTCAAATAAAATACATATTGTTATCTTTCATCACATGTGGCCGTATATCAAATTTCTCACCTTGTTCCTATTTCCCTTACTTTCTATCTACCTGTATATATATATCAAGTTCTTCAGCATCATTATATTTCACTTCCTCTAACAATAGGTATTGTTTTCTTTTGACTTAAAGCTCTGTTTAGAATCATAATAAACACTAGACCTCAAATATACTACATTGTACAACTTTCGACACCAGAGTACCTTATCCTGAGACTACTTTGAATGGACATTGAAAATGCTCTGGACAAGACCTTAGAACGAAGAGAAATTATTTAGCCTTACAAGCAGGTTGTATAGAACAAGGCAGCAGTCAAGATCTGACACTGTCTTATTTTGCAATCCTTTAGAATTAACCTCATCATGCAATAAACACATCAGCTTGCTCTAAACTGGACCTCTGGATTTGCTATCCAATGGACCTCAGAACATTTGCTGACCTAAGACTATTTGCTTTACACTGGACATCAAAATTTGGTATGTAGTGAACATCACAATTGGCTATAGACTGAACCTACAATGTAACTGATATTGTAAGAAACTGGGCACTTGAGTGATACAGACTGGACCATACAATGCAATAGAAATGAACAATACAGACTGGTTGTTAACATCCATTTCTCATGAGAAGATAATAATATTACATGACAATTGACTTTTGAAGTGTTTTAATCATGTTAGCTATATTCAGATGTGTGTGACAAATTCATTAATTGAATTTCTTAGACAACAGTAGCTTGGGATAGATTAATACATAAAAACATGAATACAATCTTTTTTCACATCCTTTATCCCTTCTTGTTTCAGAATCCAAAGTTTGTGGTTAGGTGTTAAAATGAACTCAACTCAACCTTTTATATAAATAAAGATGTTGTTTTTTTCTATATTTAACACAAGTGGTATTGTCACCACAATAGTATTAAATACTTATGTCATTCCCACTGATGTTAGAAAACAGAATGAGATTTATCAGTAATAGTACATTACTGCACTTTGGTTTGATTTTTTTGTTAAACTGTTATGAATTGCACAAAATGTATTTCGCTTAATGCATACAAATAATTGACAGGACCAAAAAATTAATTTTTCAGTGATTGTTTTTTTGGTCCTTTTTGGAGCAAAAATTAGGAACCATTCTTGCCTAAGAATTTATATGTTATTTTGGTAAAATATCCATTTCATAGAAAAATGAATAAAAATAATAAATATTCAAACAAAAACTTCAGTACATTCTAAAGTCCTTGATTATTTCAAAAAAATAAAACTCATAGAAATTTTTACTGATTTTCATCAGAAAAGAATGTAACTATTCATCAATAATATTGCTTTTATTTGTTCCCTTACTTCGAAAAAAGGGAAAAATATTTAATTTTCAATAAAAAAATGTCATTTTTAAATTTATGCCAGCAATGCATGAAATCATTAAAATGACCCACAACATTACAAATTACCATCAATATAAAACAGTGGTAGTAGGTACTGTCATGTCGAGTTCAATTCCTAACTCAAATGCCTGCTGCAGTTTTTTCTTCAACTTTTGGATCAAAAACAGGACAGCTCTTACAACAATGACCGTAACACTTGAGATGTTACACAGAAGATAATATTATTTAAAACAGAATAAAATAAATCTCTTTAAATTTATAAACCTTATGAAAACATAAAATCAGGAGCACTGACCTAGCTATTTCTGTGAAGCCACAGGAGGCAGTGGCATGGAGAGGTGTCCATCCTTCATTATCACAAACATCAACATCAGCTCCATGTTCCACTAGGAACTCTACCATATCCAGATTGTCGTCTATACATGCCTACAAACATAAACAGTACAATGATTAAACTCTTGAGATTCACTTTCTTAGAACAGTTTTTTTTTATTTGTACAAAAAAATCTGCTTAAGAGGGACTTTTTGAGCTATATTAATTATTATTACTAATTGAAAGAATTTATGGTGCATTTGGTTCAGAATTAGAGTAGACCTGGCCAAATTGCAGTAAAGACGCATGTACACATTCACGGAAAAGAAAACATGCTTAACAGATGAAATCATGCAACATTTTTGTATGTATTATTAATATGCATGACTCTGGGGGGTGCCATTTAAAATAGCTTATTGTAACAACAGCATCAGTAGTTTTTTTAACAAAAACATACTTGTCAAAAGACTCAAATGACATCAGGCTTACACATGAAAAGATTAAGAATCACAGAATTACTGGATCAGATGTATACTTTAATAGAATAGTGCTAATGCATATTTATCTGAACATTTACAACAGCTGAAGTCCACTGACTTATTAAATTGCCCGCCCTGTGGGATAGGGCTTTCAATACATATTCTTGCTTCTGCAGATCTTAGTGCACCAAAAAGGTGCATTAACCCTCTATTATTTATGCATGCTCAAATGACTCAGATAGAATTGATGTTTAAAGTTATAGTAGACAATATCACCAAAAAAGGTGCATTAACTCTCTATTATTTATGCATGCTCAAATAACTCGGATAGAATTGATGTTTAAAGTTATAGCAGACAATATCTGTACATTGTATGCCCTATCCAGAATTGAACCTAGAAGATGTGATTGATTTCCTAAATAATATACACATGTATGGGCCAAAAATTTTGTGTTAGACCAATATTTATTACAAAATACAATATTAAACAGACATGTTTTAATGTTAATAACAGTGATACTTTTCAACAGTCATCAGATAACTTTTTTAAGACCAGTCATAATAGCCATTTTCTTCAGCATGTTGTAAAGTTTCTAACTTGTTTTTTTTTTAATTATCATTCATATTTGTTTTCTCCCTTAATATTAATATAAACAATGTTCCCTCTTTATTCAAACAGTGCCAGAGACTGTATATGGTTATAGCTAGTCATAAACTCTGGCTAATGTTTACTGTTTTTATTTACAGCATAAATCTATGGGGGTCAAGTGATCCTAATCAAAGTCAACTTGAATGATTGTATTTCTTTTTCTCACTGAAGCTTTTGTACAATGTTTATACACATTGTTCCTATTTGAAATAGAGCCGATTTTTATCTTTCAACCTCTATGATTCTATTTTACTATGTCAAATCTTTATGTTTAGAAAAAAACTGCTTTCTACATATTTTTACAGCAATTAAAAAATTTATACCACAATGAAGATCATTAGATTAATTAGGAAAACTGAATGCATTGGAATTTTTCAAACACTATATAGTAAAAGGTTACTCTTGTTTTTCCACCTCAATTTTGAATTTAACCCTAGTCAGTTACTTTAAGGAGAACATAAATTGCTTATGAAAATAATTTTCTTCAAACTTCTAATATGCAAAATTTAATGTGCAACAACCAGAATTTTTTAGGACTGTCCAAGAAGATCTTATGGATTGTGTATGAATAATGTGCAGTCATTGAAATTTACTGGCCCGAATTCCAGTTTTGAATTTATTCTACTATATATTTAACTTAATTTTCTTAAAATTTACACTGGCCCTAACTAATTTTCACTGGCCATGGGCTACCGGGCCAGTGCTAAATTTGATGACTGAATGTGTTTGTAACATATTGTTTGTATAAGATATAAAGCCAGCATGTTAACAGTTAAACACATTCTATATATCATTTTATATGCAAGCATAATACTATTATGCATGTCAGGACTTACCTAAGAGTATGTTTCTTTTAGAAAAGATTATGATTTTAGAAGTTTTAATACATTTTATATGCATTTTAATTACTTTTGTTATTACTTTGGTAAATCTATAAATTACTAGTATACAATACTACAAATTGTTGGGAAATCCCCTACGCCTGCATTGTATAACAAAATGTGTCAAAAGTAATAATAATCTAGTATATTGTAGTACAACACATGTTAAAAGGTGTCTTCCCCATGGAAAAATTATTTTAAAAAAATATTTAAAATCATGCAGATTTCCTTAAAAATTCAAAATAGAAAAGATCTACATTTACATTTTTATTCCCTTTTTTGTGTGTTTTTTACCTATGAAATTCAAGGGAAGGACTGCTTCCCCTACCTGTGAAAAAAGCTCTTACAGAAGCATAAAAAGGATAAACATGTATAAATATCAAGCCCGAAATTTTTCTTTCTTAATTGGGAATGGGGCCTTCAGGAGCCCTTTAATATTGGGAAGAATTACCACTAAAGTTGCAGATTTGGGAAAGTAAAAAGTTAGTACAAGTTTGATTTTTTGCCTTTTGATCTAACAAGAATGTTAAGTTTCAATCAATTCCCTTCTGCAGTTATGAAGACAACTTGTACGCATAAGCAAAAAAACAGGTTTCTTTAAAAAGTAATTTTGTGTGCCTAGTTTGATACTTACAGTGGCTGTGAATAATTCAATGTCTTAATGGTATTGCTGTCAATACAACTTCAAACAAGGGTGAGTGCTTGGACTTCTTCTATTTCTTGCATTCATAACTGACCTCCATCAAGATGTTTAATCAAAACTTTACCTATTTGATGATGATCATGCTATGTAACTAACCTGAACATTCTGAAGGTCTGCAATCAGACACCCTTCAAAAAGTCTTAAATACTCTTGGATTAGGACATGGAGTTAAACTTCAAATTAATCTATGCAGGGTATTTTTATTCTATAAAAGTAGCCAGAAATTTCCCTATGAAATTTAAAAGTTAACAGTAACTAGTAAAGATTGATTAAGTCAGAGTAAGATCAAGAAAATGTGCCAGTAATGTATTACTCAGTATTTCTGCCAGACTAGATTTTTTGAGGGACATTTGTGGCCCTCTGTTTAAAAATATTGGGGTCATTTGAAATTATAAAGGGTCATAATTCAAAACAGTAAAACCTACAAAAGTAAACCCCATAACTATTTAATTTCATAATTATGTTAAGTTCAATTTCTCACTTTAACAGCTTACTTTTTGCTTCAAAACTTATGTCTGTCTTTAGTTTCTTCCAATTTGCAACTGCTGTTGCAACCGAAAATTTTCTAAGGATTTAGTTTAAGGAAGGCCTAAACCTTATCTGCATTAAAACTTTTAACCTGTCAGCTGACAGTCTGTTTATTGCAGACACTTTGATATTAATTCAGGACACAAAAGCACCTATCCTTTGTGGTTTGTTTGCCATTGTGAGAAATCTTCTACACAAATTGCTTTGTTTACCCAGAGTGAGACTATATGTTTTTGTGTATGTTCACTAAATTCCAGATAACATTACTGATTATAGAACGGTTAAAAGTCTGACAGAAAAAGCATCATTTAGTAACTAATACATACATGCAGGGTTCTCGGGGATGCTTATTTCGGCATCCCGGTACGCATGTTTATTACAGCTGGACGCAAATATTTCAGAGCAAGGATTCCACGTACGCTTAATTTTGCCTGGGGACGCATAAACATTACCGATTGTTAACAACCACAAATACACAAATGCGTCAGCACTTGTCAGTCTATAGGTAGGCGGTCCTATGCACATCGACCCGTGAAGCGATTAGCCAATCAGCGATAACGCTTACGATCATTATCACGCAATAGTGATCAGACTAATGTATACACGCGCTGTACAGTACATATAACACGAGGTGATAATTTTATATCTTTGATCAACAGTTGATTGGAAATTAGCAAATTTTACCGACAAAAGGATAAAATTATTGACTATTTACGCCGCAAGTTTAAAGACTGTTTTCTCAAATTACATATGAGTGTAATTTTGAATGATTGTCGAATATTTTCGGCATTTTCTAGGCACAATTTTGCTTTAGTTTCATTCTTGCAAAAACTTAGATAAGACTATTAAGAATTTAAGATATTGTGCCAACAAACCAAAATACACATACGCTTTTCTTTGATATTTAGATTCTATCCGAAAATTGATCCCGAACATCGGCGATTTCACGTTCGCCAGAAACCCTAAAATTTCGCAAAAATTCTCGGTTTCCAAGCCAAACATGCGAATGAATTGTTCCTTTATTATTTAATCAACATTAAATCTTTAAATATCGATCTTCAATTTGCCCCCTTTTGAAGATATTTGCTAAAATAATTGTCGATCGGATGAATCTCTTACACACTATTTGAAGCTGTACACGATTTTCCTATTCATTCCGCTAAACGCTGCCTATATACATTTACGTTTTTTTTACAAATATAAACTTTTTGTCTTTAGAGTGGACTTATTTAACCAGAATAAAATTTGATTTGGTATAAAAGTGAAAAAAAAAAACGATTTCCATGTGTTGATGCATTATAATGAAATAATTTTATAATAAATATCAACAACAAAACAATAATTATACTATGTAGTTCAGAGTTTCTTTTGAATAACTATAAACTTTTGAAGTCTCTTGAAGATTCAAAATATCAGCAATGCTATTGTGAGCATTGAATGACTAATCTGTAAACATATTAATTGCGACGCGCTTTTGGACTCCAACTTTTTCAGGGTTGGGAGTCCATGGACTCCATGTTTTAAAGTCCTAGTGAGAACCCTGTACATGCAGTTACCAGAAGTAAATAAATTCAGGGCTCATCCGGAAGGGCGATTCAGGCGAAAACTTCGCCGTGTATATTCCAATTTCGCTCTTCCGATTGATCAAAGAGAAGTCAACATCGCCGATAAAATCTTAATTCCAAATAGTAATTACTTAGCGATGTAAAGAGCAGAGATTGTATCCGCCCATATGACGACCGCTAATTATCATTATCCAATCAGAGCGCCGCTTTATACTACCCTTCTACCTGTAAGCGAAGCGAAAGACCGCCTACTCTAAACAGTAAATAATGAGAGCATCGGCCCGAAACGGTATAATTGTGTGATAGTTTGCGAGTTTAATACGGGATTTGGCGATAATTATACATTGTTTTTTCCCCGATTATCTAAACACATGCAATCTTCCCTAATTGATATACACGATGCACTTCGATGGTGGGTTTTTAACCCAAGTAAAGGCGATGTGCAATGGATTTTTCACGGCTATCACATAACTGTTAGTCATATAAAAATAATCAATTTCATTAATGATCAGCGACCGGATTAAAAACTTAATCATAGTTTTGAATGATTTCAGTCTGTTAACATCAAATTTTTACTGTAAAATTGTTATGTCGCTCACGTCATGGCTACTGGGCGAAATGCCCAAACCTAGCAGTAAAACTAAAAGAAAGTTACTGATTCTGATACACCTACGCGAAAATTTAAGAAAACCATTTCGCAAAAATCTTGCGATTGGTATGTTGTAGACAGTGGGCGTGTTTGGCATTGTTCTGTTTTTAGAAATTCCAAATTTGACATAGTTAACGCACGTGGGCAAGACATCCCGGCTAAACTCTCAACCTAAACTACATATCGGTCGTATAACATGTAACGTATATAACAACAAAATTTGTCAAGAAGAAGAGTTCTTATTGTTTCAATATACATATTTGTTTTAATGTCGTAAATATGACGCTCAGATTAAGATTTATCAATTTTGTAAATTTTAAAAAGCATTATTTTAAAGATATTACCGAATTTAACATTTTTTGAAAATAAAGGGAGGTAATTAGAAATTAATTTTCTACAATTTCTCAGTCTAATTCTTCAATAAGAAATGAATGTATGTAATTTTAGTGATCAAATATAATGTGCACAAATGTTTGCAGTAAATATTTTACATATTCTTTGATGTTTGAAAATTATTTTATAAGCATAATTATATGCATATAAATCTGACATTACAACATTCAAGATGTTCAAAGAAATTTCTGTTTACCAGAACAGATTAGAACAGATTTTATTAAATAATGTCCAAGGTGACTTCATCTTCTAATAAAAGTGAGGAAAGAAAAAATATGAAATTGATTTTAACACATCTTTCCTTACACATCATTATCAACAAATGTACATGAAAATATATAAACACATATTTTGAGAAAGCTTATAAATAGCTGATCAATAGATATCAAAAATAATTTTTTATATTCATATTTGCAGCTCAAAAACATTTAGATGCCATTGCCAGATCTACTACTTATTAATCTACTTTTAATTAATACTACTATTAATTAATCTACTATTAATAAAAAAACTGGAGAAATATTATAAGTGATGTTAATTGTGTTTATATTATATTTAAAGGATGTATAGCCATGCATGTTAATGCATACACATTGGGTTGTTTCCCTTCTCCCTAATTTTCGCGAGGAAGTCACTTCTCCCTAAAATTTCCCCCCAGGATGAGCCCTGAAATTTAGACACTCAAATAATAATTACTGATATAAACAGGATGGTGCTATTAATCAGAGAAATATCTTGATGAAAAGACATTTCCAGTAAAGGTAGATTATGACTTTGTCATAGAAAATGCGTTTTGTAAATTTCAATGCGTCATTTGTGAAATTACTGCATAAAAACACAACACAGAGTAGCAGAAACACTTTTTTTACATATACTTTTTGCCTGGAATTACTTGACATTTGTACAATTATATTTAACCTTTTTTTTTAATTATAATTTAATTATTTTCTTTTTAATCCAAAAAAGGCCATTAACATACTTAATATGAAAAAGGCAACAAGCTCGATTTACTTTTACTGTGAAATACTTAAAATCATATAAAATAATCATCATTTTTATTTTATATTTTCCGTTTTAAAACTGTCATTCGGTATTTTATACACTGCTTCCATTTATTCTGGTTCCCTGTCCTACCATGGTACCTAAAAAAGTGTGCAGGACACCAGTCTATGCATCCGTTTTCAATCAGAATACCCCCTCAGCTTTTGTCGTTATCATGTAATTCAAGAAGTTGTGATGTGTTACATACGACAAAAGTTTTCAAAACCATCACCAGCTAGCAGGTCCTCGCATTACCGTAAAGCTTGCCTTGCGAGCAGGCCCTTTGGGCCAGCTCTTCGAGCTCGCTATCACTATTACGTGCCATTTTGGTGAATTTTCTAGAGCTACATCAGTACATGTATAGAAAGTAGGCTGTCGAATTTATAAATACTTTGTGTTCTTTCTAACACAGACATGTTGCTAATATTTTAGGCTAGACTCACTCAGCTTAATTTTTTTTTAAATGGTTACCAAATAAGGTATTGCATTCAAAGCGTACAGCATTAAAAAATAATGATTTTCAAAAGTTAATAATCTAACATTAATACCTATTCAAAAACTTATTTTATTTACAATTAACTGACTGTATGACTTGTGTTATATGTGATTAATTTACAGAGTCTGTCATTTACAGGAAATAAAACAACTGTTGATTTTACAGTGAGTGTGACCTACTTATCAGAACTTTATTTCCAAAATTAACCAAAAAAATAACTGTTGAGTGTGCAATGCAACAGTAAGTATTAAATGTTTGGAGCCAGTAATTTAGTAATAACAATTGGATTTCGTGCTAATTGAGGCTTTATACCTGATGTAAGGCTGTCAAACCATCGATATTTGCAGTGTTTATATCAGCTCCTCTGTCGAGTAACCTTTTCACTTCTTCAGTGTCCCCGCTAGAACAAGCGGCTAAAAATACACATCCATCTTGAAACTTCACTTTTTTATCTTTTCCTAAAGTATGGTTTAAGCACTTATTTGTGTCTGAATCTTCCCATCTTTTCAATTGTTCGTGCCTCTTAAAAATGGCACTTGTCTGCTGTTTTTCGTCCGCCATGACAGCTGCGCTAGAAATATGCAAATTACGCAAATTCACGTTGAGCTCTCGGACGAAACGGGATTTCAAGGAAGAAAATGGCTGCCCCCATGAATTTAAAATTGAGATGTTTTTGTAAAAATAAACAGTTTTTAACTGCGCTTGTTGCTCAACATGATAGTAAATTCGACAGAAATCTTCATTCACCTTCTGGAAAGGAAAATCTAAAAGAAAAGCCTGAAATTAGTGTTGATTCTGAGGGTATATACTTTATTAAACTTGACCTATGTCTCTGAAAAGAATATTATTTTACCCCTCCCACTGCTATGAATAAGGAAAAGCCTCCAAGCGAGTTCTTTCTTAGAATAAAACAATAATAGGAAATGAGGCAAAGCCTATGAACAGGGAAGTCAGTTAAAATAATAAAGAATTTTTTATTTTATTTATTCCATTTAAGAAGTGGCTAGCCGTACGGGCCTGCAGTACAACTAGCCAAAATTTCTAGCTGTATGACGGGTGCATAGAAAAACCGGAAAGCACCGGATAGCACCGAAAAACCGGAAAGCACTCAAATTTCTCATAAAAACATATGAAAACGTTAATTAATCGGTTTGAAAGTGTTACCAATCGATTAATTAGATTAAAATCTTCAGACAAGTCATTTTTATATTTATATATTGATAATTATTACGAGTAGTTAGGAAAATAGATATATCGAGTGCTTTCCGGTCCTGTTAAGATACATGTACATTACCGGATAGCAATATTGTTTATCAAAGTTATACATGAAAATTTTATTTTATTGGTTTGAAAGTGTTACCAATCGATTTATTAGATCAAAATCTTACAGACAAGTCATTTTTATAAAAATATATTGATAATTTTTACGATTATTTAGGAAAATAGATATATCGTGTGCTTTCCGGTCCTGCTAAGATACATGTACATTACCGGATAGCAATATTGTTTATAAAAGTTATACATGGATACTTTATTTCATTGGTTTGAAAATGTTACCAAATATATATGTTATATCAAAATTTTTCAGACAACATGTTTTTATAATTATAATATGATTATTATTACGTTTGATTAGGAAAATAAGATATATCGAGTGCTTTCCGGTCCTGCTAAGGTACATGTACTTTACCGAATAGCAATATAGTTTATCAAAGTAATACATGAAAACTTTATTTTATTGATTTGAAAGTGTTACCGATCGATTAAGTATATCAAAATCTTCCAGACAACATGTTTTTATAATTATAATATGATTATTATAACGATTATTTAGGAATGTTAAATAAATTGAGAATGCTTTCCGGTTTTGTTAAGTATATGTACCGAATATCACTCGAATTTTCCCTAAAAAAACGTACAACCTTCATTGTATTGAATTGAAAACGTTACCAAGAGATTTATTAGGAAAAAATTATTTTTTTATAATTAATATTACGAATAAAAAAGTTTAAAATATATATTAAAATAGATATATCGAGTGCTTTCCGGTCCTTCACATTCCATTATTGCTTTCCGGTCCTGTGAAGTAATAGTAATACATCACCGAAAAGCACTGGTCCTCTTACCTCAGACATACAGATGGTATATAAATATTTAAAATGTATGTACCTTGTCTAATATATTAATATATTTATTTGTTGTAGGCTATATGGAAGACAAGAGGATTCAAAATAGCAGAAAGAGAAGAACAATAATTGTTTCAGTGATGTTTTTTTTATTTTTGACAATAAACAGTGCAATGAATAAAAATAAACGAAACTAATTACTAAGAACAAAATAAACAGATATAAAACAGAACTTAGCAAACATATATACATACATAATTGAAAAATAAGTATGATATTGAAATCAATCAAGGCACACTTCACGCCTCGTTTATTACACGGGCACACGCTGATTGAACGGACACACGCTGATTTAATTATCACATTTAAAGAGGTGTTAATAATACACAATAACTGGATGTATTTAACTGATTGATTATTTGATGTATTATATATGATATTGAAATGTCATTTAAACTTATAATTTAATTGTATTTACAAACAGTGATGTTTTAAAAACAAAATCAACAAATAACTCACTATTATATACATTCCAATTCCAATTTCAAATTTTATTGCCTGAAACATTATACAATGTTTATAGCAGATAAACAATATAAACATATATACCTGTCCAATGGATAAGACATGAGGTAAACAATTAACAAGAGTTTAACAAACAGACAAAGAGAAGAAGTTCAATACAATATTTTCAAAATATGGTGCCTTAAACAATACGAATTTTATTTGCAGAAAAAATGAATTTTGCTAAGTTATATAAAGTATTTTTTGATGACGAACACATGATATTTTCAAATGTGTTTAAAGAAGGCCAGTGACAATAATAACTTTTAAAAGATGATTCGACGTCATTGACCATAAGGTTTTCTTTAGATTTACTAAAAAGGCCCAACATATATTACGAAAGAAATCCAGATTTATATTGTCAATTTGTTTTTCATAATAAAGCTTTTTACATATTAAAATATTTTTTGTTATATGTGCCATTTAATTTTCAGGTTCTGCGAATAAATTGCGTAAGTTAGTAATAGAATGGGTTCAAGTATAGAATAAATCTATAGCATCATAATCCGATCCACGGAATGCACAGCACTTACATAGATATACTAAATTTCTATCCGACCAGGACTTAATGTCACTTAAATTTGTACAAGTACGATGCAACCAGTTCTTACAATTTGAACACTGAATAGTATCATCAACACATTCTAATGTACACACAATGCACGGATACTCCGTCATGATTTTTGATATTTTATTTAAGAGATATTCCAATTTAGATTTAATAGCACTACTAGCATTTAAATAAAAATTATGGTAATGGATTAATTTTGTTGAGGTTTATATACAATTTTATTCAAATAAGAGTAAATTTTAATAGCACCTTGATATAAAGTTCTAAGAGATTCCGTATATATCCGTTACAAACATTTCTTTTCATGAGTGCCGTAATAATCTTCATTAAACAAAATTAATTTTTATATCAAAAGAGTGTGTAGTTAATTGCAATTTCTAATTATCTAATTTAATGTGCATGTAAAGGACAGTGTCTAATTAATGCAACTTTGATGTGCAGGTCGGTACTCTCAATTATCATAATTGTGTACAAATTGATTAAATCATCACCTTTTTGTGCTACAATATACAAGGTCTTTAATCAGCAAGGATTAGCACGTGTGATAAACAATACAACAACTACTGTCCTCCACTGATGACCACATTGCTTTTCGGTACACATAGTATGGTAAAAATAAAGACATAACTGAACGAAAATTTATAAGTTTTTCTTTATTTTACATGATATAAAAATATAATAAGAAAAATTATGGTTCGATGCTTTGAATAACTTATTGGTACTTTTTACACATCCTCTTTCTGTCCTTCACACAACCTATAAAATATTAGAAATATGATACATTGTCAGATCTATGGTATGAGCAAGATTGAAAAATCGTGTAACTAATCATAATATTTTTAATTGAAATAATGTCAACTTAATTAATCAATTTATAACACTTTCACATAATTAATATGAAGGATTAGTGTGATTTATATAAATATTCGAGTGCTATTCGGTAAAGTAGATGTACTTTAGCATTACCGGAAAGCAATCAATACAACTTTGTAACAACTTTGAAAATCGCGTAATGAAACATAAAATATTTATAAAAACGTCATGATATACAGATCTTCAACTACTAAATAGATTGGTAACACTTTCAAACAAATAAAATAAAGTTTTCATGTATTAATTGGATAAACAATATTGCTATTCGGTAATGTACATGTATCTTAGCAGGACCGGAAAGCACTCGTTATATCAGTTTTCCTAAATACTCGTAATAATTATCATTATATATTTATAAAAACATGTTGTCTGAAAGATTTTGATCTAATAAATCGATTGGTAACACTTTCAAACCAATAAAATAAAGTTTTCATGTATTACTTTGATAAACTATATTGCTATTCGGTAAAGTACATGTATCTTAGCAGGACCGGAAAGCACTCGATATATCTTATTTTCCTAAATAATCGTAAAAATAATCATAATATAATTACAAAAACGGGTTGTCTGAAAGATTTTGATTTAATGAATCGATTGGTAACACTTTCAAACCAATAAAATAAAGTTTTCATGTATAACTTTGATAAACAATATTGCTATCCGGTAATGTACATGTATCTTAGCAGGACCGGAAAGCACTCGATATATCTATTTTCCTAAATACTCGTAATAATTATCAATATATATTTAAAAAAAATGACTTTTCTGAAAGATTTTGATCTAATAAATCGATTGGTAACACTTTCAAACCGATTAATTAACGTTTTCATATGTTTTTATTAGAAATTTGAGTGCTTTCCGGTATTTCGGTGCTATCCGGTGCTTTCCGGTTTTTCTATGCACCGCTGTATGACATATAATGTGAATCGTACGGCAAGCCAGGACACACTGTATAGGCTAGCCGTACGGCACTTTCCAAAATTATATGGAAGTCGGAAATGCATATGTTATTTTATGAATTTTAGCACAGATTTTAAAATTTAACAAAGAAACAGCAAAATTTGTCTTTGTATGTTTATTTTTTAGAGATTAATTGCCATGTTGGCTACAGTAATGAAAGTATACGAATATCGATCTTCGTCATCTCCAGATGCGAGAATAGAAGAGCGTTTGGTTGCAGTTGAATAACAAAATTGTGATAATAATCCTGTTTTGTTTCAATAAGTTTAATTTTCAACACCTTTAAAAATGAAAAGGCACCAAAAATAATTGTTGCTGGGCTCTGATAATTGCGACAATTACCGAGAGTAGAAGTTTGTCCATCATTAAGGAAAGTTTGCATGTTCCGTGAAACGCATTCTAAAATTCTATTGTCAGTCCCTAGATAGGCTTTAATTAAGGCTAACTGATTGTGCTTTTATGTGCAATATTTATCTACTGTATTTAAAAATTATACAATTGTTAAATTTTTGCATTTTACCAATTTTTTATGTTCATTTTTTATTCCGCTCCGATCATGCCGTTTTGAAAAAAGCTTCTTTTGCTGTTATTATTATTTATTCAATCTATGTGTTTAATTAGCAAAAATTGATTTAATAATTCATTTTTCATTTACAAATAAAACAACAAGTCATAAGCATGAAAAACAACCACGTTATAGCTTATAACATGCAACTGCGACACTTTTATCAAGATTACAACACTTGCATTACCTTAGTATTCATTTTTATATGCCAGAAAGGGCATATTATGTTATACCCCCTGGCGTCCGTCTGTCTGTCTGCACTACCGAATAGGGATAGGGGGCCATCTAACTATAAACAGAACAAAAGAAAACAATAGAATTCATTCCCTAACAATAGAATAAGGGGCCATGGCCCTCTATTAAACAAATGGAAATAACAATGGAAATGGCCCTTTATTCCTAATTGGTCGGACGTTCGTCCGTTAGCAATTTGGTTTCCGGAGCATAACTTAAGTTCCATTTTGCCCACAATGTTCAAACTTCATAGGATGATTGTCCATATTGGGTAGAAGACCCCTATTGATTTTGGGGTCACAATGTCAAAGGTCAAGGTCACTATTACTTTGATACTGAAAACAGTTTCCGGAGCATAACTTAAGTTCCATTTGTTCCACAATATTCAAACTTCATAGGATGATTGTCCATATTGGGCAAAAGACCCCTATTTATTTTGGGGACAAAAGGTCAAAGGTCAAGGTCACTATTACCTTAAAATTGAAAACAGTTTCTGGAGCATAACTTAAGTTCCATTTGACCCACAATACTCAACTCTGCCTTCTTACTAAGCAGGAAAACATTTAAAATTTGAATCTTTACACTATTAGTTTCAAGGAGGTAAATTGGAGTCAGCTTTTAAAATTACTGTTACCTAACTTTTTTATTTACTGTAAATTCTTTTACAGGTTATTTTGTGAGCATGAAATTTCATGGTGTTGTCATGTCTTTTGTCTGATTTTCAAAAGATCAAAATGTGAACTGCAAATAATGTTATACAAAATAATCTTGCAGCAGACAAAATAAAATTTTGCTGGATTTTAAATTCAAATTTACCTATACATGTAAATAAAACCATGAAAATTAGTGCTGAAACTTCAGAATATCCTTGAGTATGTGATATGTAGGAGTATTTTACTCAGGTCAGCAGCAGCCATGACTTTCACCTTCGTTTCATATGAACGTTTTTATTTGAAATATTTTTTGAGAATTAAAAAAAAACTTTTGTTTTGTTTGGAAAATAAATGATGAGCTTTGAAATTACCTAAAATGTGTGATAAAGTTATTACTTAATGATTTTGTTGTGTTTTACAGGGTTTAGACGTTACGTCCTGAAGAAAAAGGGACAGGGGAGCAAGTTTGAAAAGAAGAGATATGTAAGATATTTCTGTGTTTACTTTTATATATCCTTTCGACGGCCATCCACTATACCCGTAGGACGGCCAAAGCGTAAGAAAACGTATCAAATTTTACATTTCTGAAAGCCAGTCTTATATTACGACAGCCGTCCATAGCGTAGTTAAACATATCAAAAATATACCAGGGTTCTCACTAGGACTTTAAAACATGGAGTCCATGGACTCCCAACCCTGAAAAAGTTGGAGTCCAAAAGCGCGTCGCAATTAACATGTTTACAGATTAGTCATTCAATGCTCACAATAGTATTGCTGATATTTTGAATCTTCAAGAGACTTCCAAAGTTAATAGTTATTCAAAACAAACTCTGAACTACATAGTATAATTGTTTTGTTGTTGATATTTATTATGAAATTATTTCATTATAATGCATCAACACATGGAAATCGTTTGTTTGTTGTTCATTTCACTTTTATACCAAATCAAATTTTATTCTGGTTAAATAAGTCCACTCTAAAGACAAAAAGTTGAAATTTGTAAAAAAAAACGTAAATGTATATAGGCAACGTTTAGCGGAATGAATAGGAAAATCGTGTACAGCTTCAAACAGTGTGTAAGAGATTCATCCGATCGACAATTATTTCAGCAATTATCTTTAAAAGGGGGCAAATTGAAGATCGATATTTAAAGACCTTTCTAGAATCCGTAGCGTAAAACTTGAATTTTGTTTCATGCAACCCTGTAAAAACCTCATTTTCGTACATTCTGGTTTTTTAATGTGATTATGAAAATCGAAATATTACGCTATGGCTGTTCAACTGCATACGATAAACAACAAAGCCACTGTTAATATTACGTTCAAACAGACTCACAATTCTTGTTTTCTGAATAATGTATTTAAAACAAGTTCTGAACGTTTTAAAACTTTAAATTTTATGTTATTTACCTATATAGCCTTTTTGTTGTTCACGACTTGCATGCGTCCTTTTCTACCATGGCCATTAGAATACCATGTTGAGTAAAACGTCCACAACGTTTTAAAACATAATTATTGAAAATCAATGAAAATAAATTTTTCTCAGGAAGGGTGATTGATACTATGCTTTTCAACGTGAATTTTGTAAGTTCAACTCATTTTTGTTTCAAATAAGAGAACTGCTTACAGAAACTCTGTTTTGGTGTATGAATAAATGCATTTTAAAATACTATACCATTTAGAAGATTTTCTTCAATTAATTTGGATATCGATTGATTACCACATTAATTTAAAAAGTGTACTGTATATCTAAACTTTTACTGTATCTGTCAATAAAGGCACTATACAATTAACATATTTGGTGTTTTTATTTGAACAACATTTAACAGAATGAAAATAAATGAAAGGTAAACTTCAAGAATTTAGTCATTTAAAACTAAATTTTGGTGGCCTTCCTACGACAAACAGTAGTGGCTTTCAGGAAGCTAAAATTTTATACCGGTTTATTACGTTATAGCCTTCTTATGACTTTAGCGCCCGGCTTTTGAGAAGTCGATTTTTCGGTACGTTTTATTATGCTATGGCAGTAGAAAGGATATTGTATATGTTTTGCTGGACCACCAAGATATAATGATAAAACTTTTATGGACAAAATTATGAATGTATTTGACCTAATATTTCAGCAATCTTACAGAAGATTGTTGATTTTACCCATTTGCCTGTTAATGATAAAACAAGCCTCACCCTTGGGTCTTATTCCACCATTACCAGAAAATCATATCACCTGACACCTGAACTTGACTTTTGCTCAGTCTTAATATGAAAGATAATTTACTGTGGAAAGGATTATATCAGTAAATTGCTGTAGCGTAATGTTCTTTGTGGGTAAGAGGGCAATATTTCAAGATCACAGTATCGCGGAAACTGAATTATTTCATACTTGATAGAATATTGAGACGCTAGACAGTTTAAATTTTAAGAATAATTTTATGTGGCATTTTGTTAGCATAGAAGCTGAATAATTAACAGTTTCATATTTGAAAAATTATAAATTTTGATTTACAGGGAGATGTCAGTTTGCCACCACTGACACCAAGATCAGCAAAGATGCCAGTGAACCAAGACTGGACAAATGTTTGGCCAGCAGCCCAGACGTTTAAGTGGTCTGTTGTCCCACTGCCCCTCAGACAAGGAGCATTGAAGGTAATATAATGGTATTTAGCCCAGGTCTGCCATATGCCCCAGTGATTGGTAAAACCGCCAGTTGATGCATAATTTATTATACTCTGGGCAGCGAAAGTTGTGGGGGTATACTGGAGTCAGCTGGTGGTCTGTCGGTTAGTCGGGGTGGTTCTTTGTCCAGGACATAACTCAGAATGTATAAGAGATATCAGCTTCAAATTTTGTAGGTAGATAGATCTGAATTAGTAAAAGTGTGGTGCATAAGAACTGTAACCTCCTTTTTAGCTCACCTGTCACAAAGTGACAGGGTGAGCTTTTGTGATCGCTTTTCGTCCGGCGTCCGTCCGTCCATCGTCCGTCCGTAAACTTTTGCTTTAAATGACATCTCCTCAGAAACCACTGAGCCAATTTCATCCAAACTTCACAGGAATGTTCCTTTGGTGGTCACCTTTAAAAATTGTTCAAAGAATTTAATTCCATGCAGAACTCTGGTTGCCATGGCAACCGAAAGAAAAATCTTTAAATATCTTCATTTAAACAACCCTAAGAGCTAGAGCTTAGATATTTGGCATGAAACATCTTCTAATGAGTGTCTACCAAGTTTGTTCAAATAAAAGCCCTGGGGTCAAAATTGGCCCCGCCCCAGGGGGTCATTGATTTTCCCTATATGCATATAGTAAAAACTTAAAAAATCTTCTTTTAAAGAACCGTAAGAGCTAGAGCTAAGATATTTGGCATGAAACATCTTCTAGTGAGTGTCTACCAAGTTTGTTCAAATAAAAGCCCTGAGGTCAAAATTGCCCCGCCCGGGGGTCATTGATTTCCCTATATGCATATAGTAAACTTAAAAAATCTTCTTTTAAGAAACCGTAAGAGCTAGAGCTAAGATATTTAGCATGAAACATCTTCTAGTGAGTGTCCACCAAGTTTGTACAAATTAAAGCCCTGGGGTCAAAATTGGCCCCGCCCCAGGGGGTCATTGATTTTCCCTATATGCATAAAGTAAAAACTTAAAAAATCTTCTTTTAAAGAACTATAAGAGCTAGAGCTTAGATATTTGGCATGAAACATCTTCTAGTGAATGTCTACCAAGTTTGTTCAAATAAAAGCCCTGGGGTCAAAATTGGCCCCGCCCCAGGGGGTCATTTTGTTTTTTCCCTATATGCATAAAGTAAAAAACTTAAAAAATCTTCTTTTAAAGAACTGTAAGAGCTAGAGCTAAGATATTTGGCATGAAACATCTTTCTAGTGAATGTCTTACCAAGTTTGTTCAAATAAAGCCCTGGGGTCAAAATTGGGGCCCCGCCCCGGGGGGGGGGGGGGGTCATTGATTTTCCCCTATATATGCATATAGTAAAAACTTTAAAAAAATCTTCTTTTAAAGAACCGTAAGAGCTAGAGCTAAGATATTTGGCATGAAACATCTTCTAGTGAGTGGGTCTACCAAGTTTGTTCAAATAAAGCCCTGGGGTCAAAATTGGCCCCCCCCAGGGGGGTCATTGATTTTCCCTATATGCATATAGTAAAAACTTAAAAAATCTTCTTTTAAAAGACCCAAAGAGCTAGAGCTTAGATATTTGGCATGAAACATCTTCTAGTGAATGTCTACCAAGTTTGTTCAAATAAAAGCCCTGGGGTCAAAATTGGCCCCGCCCCAGGGGGTCATTGATTTTCCCTATATGCATAAAGTAAAAACTTAAAAAATCTTCTTTTAAAGAACCCAAAGAGCTAGAGCTAAGATATTTGGCATGAAACATCTTCTAGTGAATGTCTACCAAGTTTGTTCAAATAAAAGCCCTGGGGTCAAAATTGGCCCCGCCTTGGGGGGTCATTGATTTTCCCTATATGCATATAGTAAAAACTTAAAAATCTTCTTTTAAAGAACCGTAAGAGCTAGAGCTTAAGATATTGGCAATGAAACATCTTCTAGTGAATGTCTACCAAGTTTGTTCAAATAAAAGCCCTGGGGTCAAAATTGGCCCTGCCCCAGGGGGTCATTGATTTTCCCTTTATGCATATACTAAAAACTTAAAAAATCTTCTTTTAAAGAACCCAAAGAGCTAGAGCTAAGATATTTAGCATGAGGCATGTTCTAATGGGTGTCTACCAAGTATGTTCAAATAAAAGCCCTGGGGTCAAAACTGGCCCCGCCTTGGGGGGTCATTGATTTTCCTTATATGTGTATAGCAAAAACTTAAAAATCTTCTTTGAAAAAACCCAAATAGCTAGAGTTTAGATATTAAGCATGAAACATCTTTAAGTAAATATCTACAAAGTTTGTTCAAATAAAAGCCTGGGGGTTAAAACTGGCCCTGCCCGAGGGGTGTCATTGTTTTTAACTATATGTGTATAGTAAAAACTTAAAAAATCTTCTTTTAAAAAACCCAATGAGCTAGAACTTAGATGTTTTGCATGAAACATCTTCTTATGGGTGTCTACCATGTCTGTTTAAATAAACAAATAAAAGCCCTTGGGTAAAGATTGGCCCCGGGTGGGGGGGGTGGGGGGCTATATACAGGTGAGCCACCTCAGGGCCATCATGGCCCTCTTGTTTTCTTATTTTGGAGTTATTGCACTTTGTTCATTTTTACAATTTGAACTTTGTCTGTGACATACATATGTAACTTGAGAATTATAAAAGGTATCAACTCAATACTTGATAGGTAGATAAATCTCACTGAGTAGAAGTGCAGTGAAAAAGAACTGTAACCCTCCCATCCCTAATTTTGGAGTTATTTCCCTTTGTTCATTTTTACACTTTGAACTTTATCCGGGAAATAACTTGTGAACTATAAAAGGGATCACCTCAATACTTTGTAGGTAAATAAATCTCACTGAGTATAATTTTAGTGCATGGGAAAAGCTTTTAATTACTCGGGACCAATTTACGGCTGGCTTCTTTCAAGTTTTTAATGTCTACTTTTATATTAAAGAGTGCTGGTTTAGCTGAATATGCTGTATATTTTTATACTTTAGAAAAATAATTCAACATAATGTTAAGCCATCAGTTATGTCCTTCCTGTTGCTATGTAACTCCTCTTGCTATGTAACTCCTTTTGCTACGCTATGTAACTCCTGTTGCTATGTAACACTTGTTGCTATGTAACACTTGGCATTTCTCATGTGTTTCTCATTTTCTCACATATTAATAGACAAATACCTTGGTATCAAAATACCATTTATTTACCTCATCCTATAGATCGAGTTAGAGTTGAATTGGTCAAGATCAACCATCACTGATGATAAAATTAGATTTTTAGCTTAACTTTTGGAAGAATACTCATGTTGTTGTTGGGATAACACTTGGATATAATTTCATTTCTCATTAAACAATAATAGTTTATGTTGGAAACTTCGCCAATGTATGCCTTTTAAACTCTAAGATTCATATATAGATTCACAGGATTCAAGAACCATAAATCAAGCATGGATCTTTATTTAATTATACACATTTGTCTCCCCAATGCCCAAATGCACTGACTTTATACTACATGTCCTAGGGGTTATAATTATAGGCCACTGACCACTGTGTAAAGTTTAATTTTGACTTGTCTTGCTGGCTCATGGGAATACAACTTTAATCTATGAAATTGAACAATACAACCCCTCCAAATAGCACACCCATACAATATTGCCTTTTCTTGAAAATCAAACTGGGCTTTTCTAGTGTTTGAACCGGTGCTAGAATTTTTATCTGACTCCCATTGTGAAAGATAAGTGGCATGCCTTAAAATAATGTGCTTATGATAAAGTTTAAATTCATATGCTACTTTAAGAAAATAAAATAAAGAATGAAAATATTTTTGAACAACAATTGATTTGTAATATGCAAGGAGAACTATCACTAGCTGCACTAAGTACACTAGCTGTAGTCACAGGCAAGAATATCAGGCTTTCAGGTAACTGTTTCATGCAAACTTTAGTCTGTTTCATTTCACCCTTAACAGTTACCCTTGAGTCAGATATTCCAGTTAGTACGGATAACCAGTATAAAAGTATTATTGCATTTAATGTAAATGTTGTTATACTGCTTACAGATACCATCTGAGGCTAAGGGAGATGGGTTCCCTCCTGACAAGTATGGTAATACAGAACTGTTGAAGATTCCAAATTTCCTCCATCTTACACCAAAACATATCGAGAAGCATTGTAAAGCCATCAAGAGTAAGATATTTTAGTTAAATCCATATTTTATTATAGCTTAATATCAGGGGTTTCATTGCATTACCTAATGGGCTACCAGGTAATTTCAGTAATTTCTTTCTGGTTTGCACTTAGACATACCCAGTTTCTTTGAAATATTATGAAACCCTTGTTGAAATGGTGATATAACATGATGATGCCTTGTTTTAATGGACTTATAACAAGTTTAAAGATAAAGGAATACTTGAATAAGGATCTAGAATTTATTGTACTAAATGACCGGTCATAATTACCCTGTCTGTGGTACCTTAGCATGATCCTTTTTCCAGGAATATCAGCACACCTGTGTGCAGTGTGCTTGAAGCTGAGCTTTTAGGAATGGTCAATAACTTTTAGCTCATCAAGAGCACAAAGTCATTGTGAATTTTCCTGGAAAGAGCGGATTCTCTACTGGTTCTAATAATATGTTATAAGCATAGTAAATATAATCTTCCTCTAAAATCTTATGAAATATTGCAGTGAAGGACTGATGACATTATACATATTGTTGTCAAATAAACCTGTTAGGAAAACATTAAAGTTTTATTTCATAATAAGGCTGTAAGGGCATCTGTGGCGGAGTGGTAAAGGTCATTGACTTTAACCACTTGCCTCTCACAACTGTAGGTTAAAGGCGCACAAGCGTTTTCAGATTCTTTTATGTTGGAAAACCACCCAGTTAACGGACTGTCTGTGGTTTTACATGGGTGCTAGTTTGTGTGGAAATAATGCACAGATAGGCATCCAAGGTCTTCCTCCACCAGTTAGTGGCCATATGATACAAACTGTTGGTGCAACGTAAAACCCATTCCATACATATTATATAATACAACAGTGTAGTTTATAGTCAAATATGAAGCGTGAAGTCAAGGATTAACATTGGGATTACATGTATATGGAATAGTACATATTACTTGATACACATTTGCACATCTCAATAAAATTATTATGATTTACAGAATTCTGTACATCTTGGCCAGATGACCTGTCTGATCGTCGTAGAATGAAGTATCATTTTCCTGTGGAAGTTATTACTGAAGATTACCTGTTTGCAGGACCGTCAGTTCGAGACCCACGTGCTAGAGTGGTCACAATGAAGGTAATTTTAATGTATTTTAAGGTAAAATTTATATATAGTTACAAAGGAATAAGCCTGTTTTTTACAATGATTAGTACAAAAATCAGTAATATGTAATCGTTTATTATATTCCCAACACATTAATTTGGAGAGGTTATACTGGAACCACTTTGTCATGTCCGTGATTCTGCACTCTGTTACTCATATACCTCTTAAAGGATTTTCTTCAAACTTAGCTCAAATGTCGGCCTTGATAAGTTGATATACAGAAACACTGTGCTGTCACTGTACCGCATTAGGTCAATGCCATGCTTGAAGGTCTACTTCTTGTAGGACTTTCTGAAAACTAAACTTACCTTTTCACCTTCAAAAGGAATAATAAATGCATAAAATCGTGTATCAAAGAGATAGCAGGGGTTGGGTATTCATCTCTCATTTGACAATTATAGTTTTATATTTCATTTAATTAACAATATGTTTTGCATGAAAATGTACAAAGCTTATCTGTTTATTTTCTGTCAATCCTTCCAGCTGGATCCATAACTCAATAGAACTGGTTAATTAGTTATTTAATTATCTCTGTTCAATATGATAGCCGTCAGAGCCCCAAAAAATTGAATAATTTAAATGGGTTCTCCTCCCTAACTTCTTGGCAGATAATGATGACATTCAATAGGAAAAGTTCCCATGTGGTTTGCTGTAACTTTTATTAGAAGGGAGCTTTGAATGATTTTTCCAACTGCTGCATATATTTTGGTGAAAGTTATTGTGAATGTACATTGAATAATTCCTTACAAATATTTTTTTTAAAACTTCTGGTCAATTGAAGAGGAGGGCAGCTTGTGCTGAAACAGAATTAGTGTTTTAATTAAATATCTGTTGAATATATAACAGGGAATGATCTGGGGAACAGACAAAAGCCCATTGAGCTAATAGCTAAGGAGAGTAGCCCACTGAACAATATCCCACTGCTCAATTTGACATAAGACAATAGCATCTTGCTTTATATCAAAAACAGTTCTAAAATCAAATTTGAACATGTTTATGGATTATAATTGAGTATTGTTTATGAAATTTTAATATGAAAATTGAGAGTATGACTGCCATTTTCACAATGTCAAACTTGATGAAATATTAGATATTTTAGATGTGTACATAAAAGGTTCATATTTATAATTTATATTTAATGTTCATTAAAAATTTATCTGTAACATTTTTAGAGCATTATATTTAGAAAGAAAGTCAGATATTTGACAAACTATTTCTGTTTTGTCTGATTTTTGAAAGCATATTTGAAGGCTGTAATGTTTACCTTAGAATATGTTAAGCCAAGTTATATGTTGTACATAGTCTTTATACAAAAACACAGGTAATAGGGTTACAGTATACTGAGCCAAACCTCATTCCCATAGATTGTATAGATTTGACGATTTTTAGCTGATCTTGTAGAGAAGAAAATTAAATATATGAGCCGCGTCATGACAAAACCAACATAATGGGTTTGCGACCAGCATAGATCCAGAGCAGCCTGCACATCCACGCAGTCTGGTCAGGATCCATGCTGTTCACTATCAGTTTCTCTACTTGTAATAGGTTTTGTAAGCGAACAGCATGGATCCTGATTAGACTGCGCGGATGCGCAGGCTGGTCTGGATCCATGCTGGTCGCAAACGCACTATGTTGGTTTTGTCGTGACGCGGCTGACATCAAGAAGAAATAGACATGTTTAATAGCTTCCATTGTTATACATAATGATTTGACTTGTTACAGTTTAGGACGGGAGATCTCAAGCTAGACAAGCATGCTGAAGATAAATTTCACAGACTGGTTGGCTCATGGGAAAATAAAGTCACTCTTAGAGCTGACAGGTAATTTAGTTTATACAGCATTTACTTTTGATGTTTGAGTTTGAATGTATAGGAAGCTATAGGTTTATAGACTGTCCCTTCCAAAGACCAGTACTAATCAATGAAGGTATAGGTTCTTGTCAAAGGGAAAACTTAGCTTGCTTGTGAGTTTGGCCACATGTGACAAGCAATCCTTAGATAGCTTAAGCTAGTCTGATGTGTGAACTACTCAGGCAATTGTATCAAGTAATTTCTTTACTCTATAAGTGCCAATGATGATGATGAATAGACCTATAGTAAAATATTGTTTGTTTCTTTTCTCACTACTTACTCTAATAAATCTTAGTTGTAAAACTTGCATGACAGGATTTTGTCAACAGTCTGCATTTTTGCTGTGTTACTTTTTTAGCTAGACTGTTGGAAGAATAGAAGGGCATTTTTTGCTGTGTTACTTTTTTAGCTCGACTGTTGGAAGAATAAAAGGGCATTTTGCTGTGTTACTTTTTTAGCTCGACTGTTGGAAGAATAAAAGGGCATTTTGCTGTGTTACTTTTTTAGCTCGACTGTTTGCTGTGTTACTTTTTTAGCTCTACTATTTAGCTTGACTGTTGGAAGAATAGAAAGGCATTTTTGCTGTGTTACTTTTTTAGCTTGACTGTTGGAAGAATAGAAGGGCATTTTGCTGTGTTACTTTTTTAGCTCGGAAGAATAAAAGGGCATTTTGCTGTGTTACTTTTTTAGCTCGACTGTTGGAAAAATAGAAGGGCATTTTTGCTATGTTACTTTTTAGCTCACCTGTCACAAAGTGACATGCTGAGCTTTTGTGATCGCCTTCCATTTTCCGTCTGTAAACTTTTACTTTAAACGACATCTCCTCATAAAGGGCTAAGCCAATTTCATCCAGATTTCCCAGGAATGTGCCTTTGGTAGTCAACTTCAAAACTTGTTCAAAGAATATAATTCCATGCAGAACTCTGGTTGCCATGGCAACGGAAAGAAAAATAATAGCCCTGGGGTCAAAATTGATCCCGCCCGAGGGGGGGGGGGCTCATTGATTTTCCTTATTTGTTTATAGTAAAAACTTTAAAAATCTTCTTTTGAAAAACCCAAATACCTAGAGCTTTGATATTAAGCATGAAACATCTTGGTGTCTTCCAAGATTGTTCAAATAAAAGCCCTGGGGTAAAAATTGGCCCCGCCCAAAGGGGGTCATTGATTTTTATTTGTTTGGGTCATCAGAACAAACAAATAATGGTAGCAAAAATTCTGACACTGATATGCTTATTTGCAAAAAATGAAAGTGGTCCAAACTCTTTGAAGCGGTTACTTCCCTTTATAAGTACACTAACGCCGAAAAATTAAGGGGAAATCACTGCAAGAGGTCTGGAGTTCAAATCCTAGTTAAGACAACTTTTTTTTATTATTTATTTTTTTTTTTAAATTGTTTAAGCCAAATAAACATTGAATTGAATATCAATGTTACAATTGGCCTTATAGCCAATTCACTACAGTTATAACACTGGAAACAGCATTGCTGGCACTATACAAAAACAAATTGGTTTATAATCTCACAACCTTCACCTTTCTGACATTCTGAGACCCAAACAAATTCAGCGCCTTCTGTGCTTTGATTCTTATTTGTATATAGTAAAAACTTAAAAAATCTTCTTTTAAAAAACCAAAATAGCTAGAGCTTAGATATTAAGCATGAAACATCTTCTAGTGGATGTCTAACAAGTTTGTTCAAAAAGAAGGCCTGGGGTCGAAATTGCCCCACCCCAAGGGTCATTGTTTATCCCTTAATGTTTAAAGTAAAACTTAAAAAATCTTCTTTTAAAAATTCCAAAGAGCTAGAGCTTAGATAGTTAGCATGAAACATCTTCTAATGGGTGTCTCCCAAGTTTGTTCAAATAAGGGCCCCTGGGTTAATATTGGCCCCGTCCCGGGGTCATTGATTTTCCTTATATGTGTATAGTGAAAACTTAAAAAATCTTCTTTAAAAAAACCCAAAGAGCTAGTGTTAAGATACTAAGCATGAAATATCTTCAAGTGAGTGTCTACCAAGTTTGTTCAAATAAAAGTCATGGGGTCAATATTGTCCCCACCCTGGGGTGGGTGGTCATTGTTTTTCCTTATATATGTGTATAGTAAAAACTTAAAAAAGTCTTCTTTTGAAAACCCTAAAAAGCTAGAGCTTACATATTTATCATGAAACATCTTCTTATGGGTGTCTACCAAGTTTGTTCAAAATCCCCAGGGTTAAAATTGACCCCGCCCCGGGGGCCTATATACAGGTGAGCGATATCAGGGCCATCATGGCCCTCTTGTTTAGCTTGACTCTTAAAAGAATAGAAGGGCTATTTCTGTAGTTTAAATGATCTCATGCAATTTATGATCAACAATATTATCACACTTTGTCACAGAAAGTTTTTGTGAAAACCATATTTTTGCTCAATAAGCCTGAATTGCATGTTTGTCTATTTCAGATGTCCAACTAAGAGACAGAACTATGATTATTTACAGTATTTGCTCACAGCTCTTTATTTTGAATCTTGGGTAGGTAGAATCACTTCTAGATTTTTTTCATTTATTGGCAAATCAAATATAAGTGTAATTCAAATAATCACTAGTTGTCTCCTTAGCTAAATGTTATCACATAACCTTCAGTTCTATATTTGTGTCATGGATTTGCCCAGCCTTAAGTAAGGAATAGTCCATTTCAATATCAAAATACGAAGGCATCCAATCCAAGAGTAAAGTGCCAGACCAACCTTGGTTACACTGCACTAATACTGGTGACAATGGCTAAACTCTTTCGGTTACAGCAGTTTAAGGACTTAAGTAAACTGACAGAGGTATTTTCCAGGAATAGGCCTCCATAGCTGAGTGGTTAAGGTATCTTACTTAGAATCACTTGCCCCCACCACTGTGGGTTCAGATCCTGCCAGGAACAATGTATTCCTTCATCTGAGGAAAATATCCAGGCAGTTTAAAGGTTGATAGTTCTGTTCAGGTCTACTTGAAACAAGAAGGGGAAACTGTTCCTTTGCTAGTTTTGGAAAGTGACCTTTGCAGTTTTGGTATGACCTATATCAAAGGAAATAAAACTCTTTTTGGTTTAAATCTTGCCTAAGACATTGAATTATTTGTACAAGAATGCTGTTGTTTTTTTTTGCTAAACTGTTTGAAGAATAAGGAGAACTATGGCACTCACCCTTGCATTGGTGTCACACATTGGTTAAGTTTTTTTCATGATATCACCAGAACTACTGAAGGGAAAGTGTTCAAACTTAACACACTTATTTGAGAGCATAATACTAGGTCACTCTAAACATAGATTTCGACAGAATTATGGCCTTTTTTGAATTAAGACTTTTCTTTGTCATCCAGGCTCTTGTACTGATAGCTTTTGTTTTGGAGGGATTGCCTAGTACTGCCCAAACTTTGTGTGAGCTGTGTGCAGTTTCTGCCTGTGTAATATAAGGCTGGATTATGAGTAGACTTGGCACATGTGATCAGGAAGTACATGTATCATGCACAAGCAGAATAACTCTTATTTTACATCTTTTTACCTCCCTTTATTTATTGTTGAGTTGCAAAGAATAGCATATGGTATGTTGTAAAAATAATTCAATTTTACAAAACACTTTTATGTAATACATTGTAACCAATAATTGTCCATTGTAACCAATAATTGTTTGTTGGTTTTTTTTCTGCCTATTTAGAAAGTGGAGCCATGGGAGTCAGAGATAACACCTGAAGATTTTAAAGACTTTGCTTGGGATTACAGCCCTAACAAAAAATCTGTTGTTGAATTGCTGAACATATACAGGCAGAAATATGAGGTAAGCCAAGTTTCTTAGATAAATATAAACAACATAATTATAAGAAAAAAAGCTATATCCTTGCAGTGACTCAAACAAAAATGCATAGTAAAACGTAATCAATAAGGTGTCACCCTTTTCATGCCGTAGATTCCATATTTATGTGACAAATTTGGATGTGGCTCCAACATTGTAACATATACACAGCATAGTACAGGATGCCACGTATTGGAGGTCAATAATAAATTTTTGATACAGCAGTGTCAATTTCAAAATATGTAGGAGCAAATTCAACAAAATTGAATAGTTTAGTTCCACAGTCAACAAATATTTCTAAGCAGGTGGGTGTCATGTGACTGCTCCTGCCAAAATGTTATGTTTTAGGAAAATTAGATATTCAAGAGAGGGAACAGAGATAAAATTAATGTAAGGGACACATTTACTTGATCACTACTTCTTATCTGCAAAACTTCTCTGAAATGACCGACCTCGAATATCACAAATACCTTAGTGAAAATGTCATTGTTACTTAAAAGTTTTAACATTTATTGCTAAATGCTATGTACATGTATATTAGTAAAGTATTTGACAAAGAGTTATTATATCTCTTATTATATACTTAACATTTGTTTCAGTCAAATGAGGATCCTAACAAAGAGAAGCAACTCCCGTATCTTCCTGATGAAGAGATAACTGTAGATACAGTTAACTCCCTTGAACCAGTGACCAGTTATAAACAAGCTGTAGAAGAGTTACATAATGCAGGAGAAAATATCACCACCATTAACAACTATAAAGACTCTGTGATTAAAATGCTTAACATTCAAAGGAAGTCTCCAGTGTTATAGTGCTTTAAAATGAAAAAATAATATACAAAAATATGAAATTTATCACCATAAATAAAGTGTTCTTGGTTTATATTACTCGTTTTGCTTGTTATACCCCTGCACAACAAAGTTGTAAGGGGGATATACTGGAATCAGCTTGTCCGTCCGGACGTCTCCCCGTCTGGCCGTCCGTCTGTTTTTCCTTGTCCGCCCAATTACTTGAGATTCCTTTGGCCCACAGTCTTCATATTTGGCATGGAGGTTAGTCATGATTAGTAGATGACCCCAATTGATTTTGGGGTCAAAGGTCAAGGTCACAGGGGCCTTGACTTTAAAAAGCTTGTTCGCCCAATAACTTGAGATTTCTTTGGCCCACAGTCTTCATATTTGGCATGGATGTTAGTCATGATTAGTAGATGACCCCTATTGATTTTGAGGTCACTGGATCAAAGGTCAAGGTCACAGGGGCCTTGACTAAATAAAAGCTTGTCCGCCCAATAACTTGAGATTCCTTTGACCCACAGTCTTCATATTTAGCATGGAGGTTAGTCATGAATAGTAGATGACCCCATTTTATTTTTTGGGCCACTGGGTCAAAGTTCAAGGTCACAGGGGCCATGACTAAAAAAAGCTTGTCCGCCCAATAACTTGAGATTCCTTTGACCCACAGTCTTCATATTTGGCATGGAGGTTAGTCATGATTACTAAATGACCCCTATTGATTTTGAGGTCACTGGGTCAAAAGTCAAGGTCACAGGGGCCTTGACTAAAAAAACTTTATTTTAAAATTTTCACACTTGAAGCATGGAGAATACATCTATTAGCAATGCACTGGCTTAGTTACCTCAGATTTGGCAGGGTGGTTGTCCTTGAGCTCTAAATGGCCACTGTTGATTCTGACAAAGTGGTATGCGGGGTGTATTCACGCCATGACAGTGGCAGTTCTAGTTAAATATAAAAGATAAAACACCATAAATTCTTGATTTAAGTTTAATAGATGTTGCAGGGTTATCTAGAGCTTCAAACATTTTGAAAACTTGCTTATAAGTTGCAGTATGACCTTAATTGTTTGTGGAACTTAAAAAACCCAACTAAAAACATGCTTGTAATAAATGGATGAATATTTGCCAGATGTGTATAGCATACAAAAATGGTCTAAAATCTTCTTCAAAATCAGTCTGCATTAGTTCTGTTGTAGGTTATGGGATCTAAAACTAGAAATCTATTATCATTGTATTTTATCTGTGATGTTCATATTATAATCTAAACACATGGCTGCAGCAGTTTCATGTGTTATTAGAAATTGTAGTCAAATAAGCAACTTTGTTATCAAGATTTTTGACAGGGTAAATGACTGTGTATAAACGATTGTTGCAATACAATCTGTCTTTTATAGATAAATAAATTATGCCAAGTACAAAATACACACATAGTCACAGTAAACATTTGTATGTCAGCTTTATCAAGTTCAGTTTGCATATGGTTTTGAATCGTGTTGAGTGGTTAAGATCATTGACTTCAAACCCTTTGCCTCTCACTGCGGTAGGTTCAAACTGCTCCAGGATCTTTCTTTGTATGCTTTCATGTCAGAAAGCTATCTAGCTAGCTCCAATCCTGCAAGGAACTTTGAAATCTTTCATATGAGGAAGCTAACCAGCTAGCTTAGGGAATGTAGGTTTTCTACACAGGTGTCAGTTCATGCCAGAAATAATGCATAGAGGGGCACCTGATGTCTCCCTCCACCAATAAAACTAGAATGTCACCATATGACGTACACTGTGTTGATGCAACTGAAAAACCCAAACAAATATATTTTGGAGACAGAATTTCATCCATATCCCATTCGCTTCTTACGCAATGATCATTAATAATGTTCTTTGTGCGATATGATGTTTCTTCAAGTCGAATATTTTCATTACAAGCTCTCAGCTGTAATCACACGCCAATTTTCCCTAGTTTGGCTAAACTGTTACTATTTCAGTCTATATGTTTGTCTATTCAGAGACATAATATATTAGAATCAGTCTGTCCGATTTTCTTGAAACTTGACATGATATGTGAATAGGAAATGAGGTTCGTCAAAATACAGGAAAATCCACTGAGGGATTTTCCAGTAAGGGTTGTTTGTTACTTAAAAGATGAGCCGTAATTTACAAGTGGATGGTTGCATCTATGAAACAATACAATAAGGAAATAATAATAATGATTTTTTTTATTATCTATTTTTGCATTTTAGAGTTTCACCCTTGTAGATTAAAAAAAAGAAAATTACTTTTTAGTCATATGTTACATTGCATACATGTACATGTATATAGTAATCATCAAATATTTTGCAATATCAAATCTGTTGTTTTTTTTTACGAAATAGTAACTGATGAAATGCCATTTATGTCCTTGAAAAAAAAGATACATGGTGGTAAACCATTTAAGATATGGTATTCTATGCAAGAAAACATATCAGGAAAGCCGTTCCTTTGTGTAATTGGTCGAGGGGTTATAGTCGATGACTTCTAATCCAGTTACCTCTCTGGCGTGGGTTCGATCCCCAGGAGATGCTTTGGTAGTTTAGCGCAAAGGAAGGTAGTCTAGTACTGGTGTAACTCTCCAGGAACAATGGTTAGGAAACTACCCGCCTATATGACTAAAATACTGTTGGAAAAAGGCGTAAAATGAAACAAACAAACTTTTGGTAATTGTCCATGGGCAGGTACCCGCGGAACAAATATTAAGATCTGCAACACGTGACAAATATTTTTATTGATATTTCCATAGTAAGAAGATGTCGGTAATGGAGGACAGAAACTGATCTGAATACACAGAAAAAAAAACAATAATTTGACTGAGATACAGTGTCAGTCTACCAGTAACCTACATAATCACTAATACCGACGCAAATTGCCATTTCATTACGAAAAATATACTAAACAATAAATAAAATTTATAGCAATCGTTTACACTTAACAAATTAAACTTAAGCTCAATGTTTCGAAACTAGTTAATATATAATAAATCACATTACAACTCTCGATAATGAAGCAAATAGAGTGTAAATTGACACAATAATTATTCATTTCAAAGAAAGTAGAATAACTACTTTGAAGAAACAAACTAACGTACCGCTTGCATATATTTATAATACTTGTATGTACAAATAAAGTACTAAAATTGCATTTATGACAAATTCATATCCGGAGTCCATTCTTTGTCAAGTTTCCAAGTTATGAATGATATATACAATTGTGAAACAGAGTCAAAGAGTATTGAACGTTTGGATGAGCCTTTCTAAAAAAAGTTGTCCAATGTTGCAATAAAGACGGCCATCAGTGTTGCATTTAATTACATGACGTAGGTGTCTTTGGTTATTATAGTTAAATGTTGGTTAGTGATGATATATTTCTGCGAATAAAGGGTAACACGTAACTTGTTTCTCATCATATTTCAATATTTACTCAACTTGATACATGCCTACATCTCACGAGTGTATACAGGCAGTCGTTGGTTCATATTTTGTTTTTCCCTTTCTTTTCGTTTCAGGTTGCTTTCTCTGAAACGAATGACTTCAGCAGATCTTCTTCCCTTTTTGTATAAAATAGATCTGAAATAAAACACGTTTTCGTGCCATGCTGTTTTACGGAGTTGGAAAAGCAAGACGAATATGTGATATAGAACCTTTTTATGCCCCGAAGGGAGGCATAATATAATCGCACAGTCTGTCTGTCCGTCCGTCTGTGCGTTCCCACTTCATTTGTGTCCGGACTGTAATCTTGTCATACATTGAGAGATTTTGAAATAACTTGGCACAAATGTCTACCACATCAAGACGATGTGTCGCGTTCAAGAACCACGTCCCTACCTCAAAGGTGAAGGTCACACTATCATTTTGAAGTTTCACATTATCGCAATTAGAGTAAATAGGTACACACATCCGTGTCCGGGCTGTAACTTTGTCCTGCATCAAGACGACATGTCGCGACAAAGAACCATGTTCATACCTTCAAGGTCAAGGTCACACTTATAGTTTGAAGGTACTCATTCCCTCGAGAAGAGTTTGAAGATACACATTCATGTCCGGACTGTAACTTTGTCATGCATGGAAGGATTTTAAAATAACTTGGCACAAATGTCTACCACATCAAGACAATGTAACACGGCGAAGGCTCATGTTCGTCTGTCCGTGTGTCCCCACTTACACAACAATCATGTCCAGACTATAACTTTGTCATGCATTGATGAATTTTGAAATAATTTGGCACAAATGTCTGTCTCATAACAACATTTTGTCGCGTCCAGGAACCATGTCCCCTCTTCAAAGGTCAAGGTCACACTTATACATTGTATTTTGAAGGTTCATGCTATCACAATTAGAGAATACATGTACAATAATACAAAGAACAATATTCAGCAATTAGTTACTTTCATTCTCTTTTCTTTTCATACCTGCATGCTTAAGAAACATTTTCGGGGGCATTCGTCACTTGGGTGACAGTTCTTGTTGAGGAGATTATTTGGATGTTATTATCCAGTATGTTGATAATATTTCTGATAAGGAACTCGTTGGAAAACTGAACAATAGTTTGTAAATATAATGTTGGTGGCATGGCGCAAAAGAAGAACTTTTATCCCAAACACTCCATTTGTTTTATATTATTATACCTTCTCCTCCATATCTCTCCTTGCCTAATGATATTCTGTCATCTAGTCTTGATATGCCATTAAAATATTCATAACTTTTATATAACACAGCATACGACACAAAAGAACGAACTTTCGAAAGAAAATGATTTTATATAATATTTTTGACGTTTTCCGGCATTGTTTACTCGTAGCTCACTTAGGCACATCGTGCTCAATGTGAGTCCGTCGGCGTCGTCAACTGATGTGGTACGTGTAGGTATATCTAAAAAGGAGCATTAATTCAAAGTAAAACAGAAAGGAAAGTCTCATGACCGTAAAAACTATGTACATTTGTACATGTAATATGCATCTAACTGGTTGAGACCACTGAGGTTGGTAACTGATTCTGGTGATTGGTGCTGGTAACCGGTGATTGGTGGTGGTAACTAACTGCTGATGGTAACTGGTGATTGGTGATG